AAAAAAAAAAAAAAAAAAAAAAAAAAAAAAAAAAAAAAGGAACTCTAGACCCGAAACTTTGAGAACCCTGGCTTAAAGGAAGGATAGAAAAGTGGTTAAAATGGTGGGCTCTGCAGTGGACAAACCTGGTCCCGACACTGACTCTGTGTCTCACTAGCTGTGTGCTTCCTGGGAAGTTACTTAACTCCTGAGAGCCTTGGTTACTTCATCTTTACAGCAACGATGGTACTAAAACAGCCCCTCGTGTTCTGGGGCCTGAATGACACCCTGCAGTAAAGCCCACAGGTAAGTGTCAGTGGCAGCTCCTGACTGCTCTCTAAAGCCCATCTCCGGCAGGCCCGGGGCCGTGGTGTGGCAGGGAATACAAGCAGTGAAGAGGTCCAGGCCTATGCGATGGGCCTGCCTGATCTGCACGAGGTGTGCTACAAAGGTAGCAACCAGGGGACTCTCAAAGGAAAGAACCACAACTTTTTCCTCAAAGCTTGAGCTCCAACCTCCTATTGCCCAGTGAAGTTACAGAGAAGCTGAGAGGCCAGAAAGCCGCTCCTGCCACATACGTGTTAGACTGCAGGCCCTCACCTTTTCAGGCTGACGATGGACGCATTCTGACCAACTTTGTTCAAAACTTCATTCCACTCTTCATCATCCCCACGGATTATGTATCTAAAAAAAAGGATATTTCAAGGCCGGCTTAAAAGAGGGGACTGCTTAAAAGAAAATACGACAGTAACAACATTCTTTTCAGACACTTCCTGCCATGAAAGCCAGACTGAACTGTGTCAGCATTTGAACAGCAGAGAAGGAGATGTCAAGCAGCAGGGCCAGGATACGAGCAGCTTAGCTCCACCGGACAGACGCTTCATAGGAGCAAGTGTGGCCAGGCCAGCCCGCAGAGGCCAGTGAGAGGACAGTCCTCAGAGAAGGTAGTCTGCCCAACCTCTCCCATCTGACTCTCATCCACCAACCACCACAGAAGCCTGTCACCCCCCAAGTCTTTCTACTCACTCTTCCCGCCAGGCGGTTTTCCAAAAGCCCTTGAACTGCCCTTGAACTCTACTCTCCCTGCCCTGCCCACCCCTTTTGGACCTAGCTGTCCTGGCAACCAAGGTTCTGATACTGCAAAGCTGAGGGCAGAAACTAGAGCCCTGACCAGGGACTCCTGGCCACCTCCATCTCACCTATCCAACAGCCACCATCACTAATGATCCAGCAAGGGGACTACAGGTCACAGAGGCTGGGAGACCACTAATCCTGGAGTCACTATTCACATCAATCCAGAAGAGGGGTCACGGGTAACACCAGTATAGCCGAAGCTCAAAAGGGACTAGGATTCCCAGTACACAGAGGGTTTTACAGCAAGGGGTGTTTTGTTTTTTTGTTTTGGGCAGACCCCTTTCTTCAAACAAATTCACATGCAAGAGGCAAATACAGAAAAGCAACCATTAAAAGTTGGATGCTCACGCAATCAGCATCCACCTTCCTGGAAGGACTACTGAGGCGTGATGTGGAAACCTGGGGATCTAGGGAACACAACTTGAAAGTCAAAGTGGCAGAGCTGATTTGGGGAAACCAAATCCTCCAACATCAAACTAGTCAGGAGGTTTTTAACTATTAGTGCTCCTAAAACCAATCCCAGGAAACAGCTTCTAGGGCACCTGGAATGTGGATTAGAAGAAACCTGTTGACAGATTCTCAGGACTCAGAGCCAAGGCAAAGCCTTCGCTTCCCATGAGCAGCAGAGGAACCTTACTGTGAGAGGTCCATGTTCTTCAGCTTCCCCACCTCCTTCCTGTGCTTCTCCTGGAATTCCTTTGCAGCTTCATCCTGCAGTCAAGGATCCAGACAGAGAGTAGGTCAGAGATGAGGTGTGAACAAAACAGAGAAAAAGATGAAGGGAGGGCAGATTTGATAATGATAAGCAAACATTTCCTTCCATTCAGTTTACCCTCAAACCATTATAGGCAGCTGTTACTGAAGTACATATGTATATAAAGCATGCATTTAAAAAAGTGACTTAAAAGGACAAACATTTAAAATGGTAGAGGCTGGACTCCTGACTCTCACACACTCGGTAGGAGGCATGACTCCAGGCCCGTGTGCACCCAGGCACGCCCTGGGCTGGAGAGGCAAAGGAAGAGCACTCAGGGAAAGCAGGACGCGACACTCGTGCGCACCACATGGTACCACCTGGCTTGGTTAGTGTGGAGGACTCTTCCTAAAGCGGAAGCGGGGAGACATCTGCATTCACAAGCCAAAGGCAGCCAAATGAAAAGCTGGGACTCCCAAGGCCCTCAGCAGGGACCCACCAGGTCATCACTCAGCGTCTTCATCGTGGGCTCCATGACCACATCCTTCACTGCCACCATCTGCTCCTCAATGGCCTTTTCCTGCACTTCATTAAATAGCTACAAAAGACAAGCATCAAGAAGCAGAAGATGAAGGAGCAGCAGAGGCCCAGTTGCTCGTTACTAAGGCATTTTTTTTACTGCCTTAAGAAAGGGTGCACATTTTCAAGACACAAAGCACTACCCTACATAGTTGAGAAGTGTGGCTATTCATATAAGAGTAAAAACACAGACTAGATACATATCTAATTCCTAACAGTGCTGCCGCTGGGAGAGAGCACAGAACTTTACAGATGCAGCAGAAGTCCCCTATTTTCTTAGGTGTGTGAGCATGTGTGTGAAGATCTGCAGGAAACACAGCCAAATGTTAGCACCTGTTCATCTTGGGGGCAGGGAGTGGGTATCATTATTTGAAAGAGACTAAGAACCTGCCCTCAGGCTGAGGTTACCTTCACAACTTTGCGGATGATCCGGTTGAAAAGTCCCATCAACTGGCCCGAAGGCAGCTCAATCTCCTTTTCCAGCTGGTCCACAGACTTATGCTGCAGGCCAATCCCCAAAAGAAGAGCCTAGAGGGTGGAAAATCTGCTACAGTGGCCTCCAGGACAGGTCCTTGCCCATTAAAAATGGCACCCAGAACCAGAGTTATCCTCTTTTGACCAAAGCTATCTGGTACAAAATACAGACTGGCACTGTTTTGGCATCTTCTCTTTCATCCTGTTACTGAAATCATCAAGAAACACTCCCTCTTCCTGAAATCCCCAAACTGACTTTTATTATCCTGACAAATATCTGCTTCCCAACTACATTACAAGTGTGGGCATTCCTGGGCCTCTGCTAAGGTAGAGGTAAGTAACAGGGCAATGCAGTGGGGCTGGAAGAACATAGGTTCAAACTGCAGCCCCCCTGCTTGCTGACTGCACGGCTGGGCACACTACCCACCCTCAGAGCCAGGTTTCCTGATGTGTAGAATGAGGAGACCAACACCCACCTATCAGATCTGTGAGGAATTAAAGGCACAAAATTGTGTCAAAGCATCCCGCCCAATCCCTGCAAATGAATGATTCCACAATGCCCACTTCTCATCCCCACACGAACACCGGGTAACTTACTGACTGAGCAGCAGACAGGGCCAGGTCCCCCAGCTGGTTCAGGAAATACACGCGGGAGATGGCCGGGATCAAGTCCATGATGAGGTGATAGTCAACCATGTTCCGTGAGTACATCTCCAGCCGCTTCAGGTCATAGGGAAGGAAGAGTGCTTCCAGCTCCTCCCGGCATAGGGCTGTACACACGACACAGAGCCAGACAGGTCAGCTCAGCCAGAGGCCTTCACAGGGTCTGACGGGATTCCCGAGACAGCACACGGAACGGGCCCCAGATGGCACCCTAACCCACAGAAGCCATCAAAAAGTGCCTGGCCACTGATACAACACAGCTTGGAGCCAGCAGTGACTCCACCCTTCTCCTGCCAAAGGGGAGGCAGCTCCAGGCCATTCGGTGGGGAAGCGATTGGGGGGGGGGGAACGACAGTACAGC